GGTGGCTACACGATTCGCACGCTTCGCGTGCTCAGTGCTTCTGTGGCTGCTTCCGCTAGCTACACGATTCGCACGCTTCGCGTGCTCAGTGCTTCTGCGGCCGCTAGCTACACTGTTCGCACGCTTCGCGTGCTCAGGGCAGCGCTGCTCCGCAGGATGGCCTGAGCGTAACACACAGACACACGTCACAGGTGCCTCTTCTTTAAAAGTAAAGATACTAGTCATGAAGTAAGTTGATTGTTCCAACCAGGAACACACGCTTCTTGCCGAACTTGACACTTGACTGACTCACGACTGCCGTCCAGAGCACACGAGGAGCACGTCGCACCTTCCACTCGGCAAACCTGCAAGAAAGCATGCACCACTCCCTGCTCAATACACAGTGTTTCCGGGAATTCCCTCATCAATTGAGCTTGAGTAGGCTGAGGAAGATTGTGCCTGAAAAGCACCACTTATATACTGCTCTCCAGGCCAAACCATCACCAGGGATACAAACTACTTACAGAGACACTTTGTTTCCAGCGCGACAAACACCTCGTGAAGCTCCAGGTAGCAGCGTGAGTCAGAGTCGCTCATGACATGGAGTTGTAAACTCTGTAAGTTTGTATCCCTGGTGATGGTTTGGCCTGGAGAGCAGTATATACATGTAAGTGGTGCTTTTCAAGCACAATCTTCCTCAGCCTACTCAAGCTCAACTGATGAGGGGTGAATTCCGCGGAACAATGTGTATTGAGCAGGGAGTGGTGCTTTTTTGCAGGTTTGCCGATTGGAAGGTGCGACGTGCTCCTCGTGTGCTCTGGTCTCTGGATGGCAGTCGTGAGTCAGTCAAGTGTCAAGTTCGGCAAGAAGCGTGTGGTCCTAGTTGGAAAAATCACCTTCATGACTATTACCGCCGAAGTCGCAACTTCTAAGTTCGTATTGTTGTCCCTCACGCGGACGTGCGACTAGTTGCGACTAGTTGTTGGAGGTGAAAGCGTTGCGAATAGCTATACTGGCTCTCAACGTCTGTTTTTTACAACTCCATGAGCGACTCTGACTCACGCTGCTACCTGGAGCTTTACGAGGTGTTTGTCGCGCTGGAAACAAAGTGTCTCTGTAAGTAATAGTTTGTATCCCTGGTGATGGTTTGGCCTGGAGAGCAGTATATAAGTGGTGCTTTTCAGGCACAATCTTCCTCAGCCTACTCAAGCTCAACTGATGAGGGATGAATTCGCCGAAACACTGTGTATTGAGCAGGGAGTGGTGCTTTCTTGCAGGTTTGCCGAGTGGAAGGTGCGACGTGCTCCTCGTCGTGTGCTCTGGATGGCAGTCGTGAGTCAGTCAAGTGTCAAGTTCGGTAAGAAGCGTGTGTTCCTAGTTGGAACAATCAACTTCATGACAATTACCGGCGAAGTCGCAACTTCTAAGTTCAATGCTAGTACAATACTAGTATTAGATAAGCAGCCACGCAACGCCTTATGCCCGGGGCTGGCACGCATTCCGCAAGTTCCTGCAACAAATAATTAATTCACAGCGACACGCTCTCACTGCGTCACGATAATATCCTGCTATTTGCCGCTTCCAGTCAGTGCCGGCACTTTGTCTTTGAAAGTACTAGTATACCTGGTCGCAGTCAGATACAACCTGGTTGTATCTGACTGCGACCAGGTATACTGACAGCGTGTCGCGGTGAATTTGTTGCAGGAACTTGCGGAATGCATGCCAGCCCGGGGATTATGTGCGTTGCGTGGCTCCCCTGGAGAGGAGGAGGTAAGCTCCTCCTCTGCAGGGAAGGACCTGTCGAAGTCCTTGCATCCAGCTGGCTCATCGCGCTGGTGAAATAAAAGGCCTGGAGAAAGAACGCGCATCGCTCCCCTGGCACGCAACTGCCCAGCCTCGGAGACAGACTATCGCAGCCGTACGACTCAAGGCACTACATCTTTTCCTGCAGCGTTCGACATAGCCGGCAATGGCCTACCGCTCATGCTATGGCCCAGTATGGGCCGCGCTGACGACAGCAATCTGCGAGTCAGCGAGTACACGTCCCCGTCGCCGGCACTAGCAGGGTCGGGTCAAACTCTCAGGCTCAGCTCGCGCTCTCTCAGGTCACAGCCAGCTTAGGGCTTCAACGCTGGAAGACATCGCAGCTGACAAGTGATGGCGAGATTGTGCTGCATCACCATGCAGAGCCGCAAAATATGCCCCGTCCTGGCCCTTGAGGCATACGTCAGATCAAGCGCATGGGGTAGTGACGAACAACCGTCCATTGCCGAACTAATACTTTATTAGTTCTGCAATGGACGATGGCTCGCGCGCGCCCAATGGCAATGACATCAACGTAGTGTTGCGCAGGGTTCTGGGCCCCAGCTACAGTAGCCACTCCCTCCGTGCAGGTAGCGCAACGCACATGGCGAATCAAGGTGCCCCGGAGTATGCCTTGATGGCAGCCGGGCGCGGGCGGTGGTCTAGTGGAGCTTACCGCACGTGCGTTCGCAGGCCTGCAGGCGCTAGGCATGCCATGGCGCTACTGAGCCACGGGTCGCAAGCACCGCACGCCCCCTTTTCTTGGAGGCTTGGGCTCAGCCGATGGGCACGAAATCCGCATGGTGCAAATCCATGGGCGACCCCAGACCACAGTTAATATTATAGTTGTGGGTTATAATGGTATAATTGTGGATTCTACCGAGTACTTAGTGATAGTAGTAGTAATGCTCTCTAGGGCATAGTTTTTCTTTGTCATCATCTCGTATAATGGTGAAAATGTGACCTAAAGTTTTTTTCCGGTGTCCTGAAGTTTTTCTTTTGTGTGAATCTCAATTCTATGGTTTCATTTCTGGCGGTGTTCAAGCAGTTTTGGTTTGGATGTTTTTCTTTTCTTTCCTTCCCCTTTTTTCATGTATAAACATTGCTGTTGCCATTAATATTTGTTATCTTTCAAGTTTGTTACAATTTTGCTGTTCACCTTTTGAATTCACTGCCCTCCTTGCATTCACATCTTCATTGCTTTTTGCGTTCAATAAAAACACAATTTGTATGTATGTATGTATGTATGTATGTATGTATATATTTATTTGAATTCGCAAGTACACACGGGCTACAAGCCCAATTACATGGAAGCAAATGCCATAATGAGGCCAATAAAGAAAAAAATGTGGAGGCAGGAGGAGGACGGTAGCAAAGCAACAGGGAGGACAATTCAGGAGCAAAATCAACAATTGCACAAATGTGAGAGCACCTGAGACCGAGGGTACCTGTGGAGCGATAAAATGCCAAGCAAACAGAAGAAAGGAAATCACAAGCCAATACACGCTAAACTGCGCTTGAGTTATAAGGAAGGGGAAAACCGGAGCTCAAGAAAATTATAACATACAAAGTCATAATAAGAAGTCGACTGGATGAGAAGTAGCACAAGCAAACATTTCCTGACAACGAGAGGGGCTGTAACTACAGCCACAGCAGTAGCTGCTGTAGCAGCAGCAGCAGCAACAACAACAACAACAACAACAACAACAACAACAACAACAACAACAACAACAACAACAACAACAACAACAACAACAACAACAACAACAACAACAAAAACAAGAACAACAACAGCAACAACAACAACAACAACAACAACAACAACAACAACGACAACAACAACAACAACAACAACAACAACAACAACAACAACAACAACAACAACAACAACAACAACAACAACAACTCTTATTGGCGATGGTGCCATCGTGAGAATAAAGAATTCAAAACAACAACAACAACACCAGCAGCAGCAGCAGCGCCGTGCAGACTACTCCAAGGGGAGTATGGGAATGTGAACACAGAAGGCGGGAGAATTCATGGATTTAGTAGTAGTAGTAGTAGAATTTATTATTTTGTTAGGGAAATCCCTACAGACGTTGCCGTCTTTTTACAGGGAACCCTAACTGGCCTAAGTGCTCTTTGCAGAGCGAAATGAAAGCGAGATCAGGCAGTTGCCATAGCAATGTACTGGTACACCCAGCCTTTATCATTTTTACATGACCCCATGGCCCGTCTTTCAAACGCTCTTTCATAGCCGATAGATGGCGTTATTAATTTTGTTCCTATCATACTAAGTATGTTTCAGATGGGCGGCCTTAGACGGCCCAGTCTGATCATTTCACACGAACTATGTTATACGGTAATATGACATCATGATCACAATAATCGTGTCGTGCTCACGTTCAATAATATGAGCTCGCGACACCCCACTGGCGCATCTCTTCTGTGGTGTGAGGGTTCACTATAACTATAACTTATAGTTCACACATACAGTGTACTAAATAGAGGTTGCGACTTCGGCGATGATTTTGTTTAGGAATGGGTTGCTCTTCACGCAAAATCTTCCTCAGCCTACTCAAGCTCAACTGATGAGGGGTGAATTCCCCGAAACACTGTGTATTGAGCAGGGAGTGGTGCTTTCTTGCAGGTTTGCCGAGGGGAATGTGCGACGTGCTCCTCATGTGCTCTGGATGGCAGTCGTGAGTCAGTCAAGTGTCAAGTCGTCGGCGGAATAGCGAGAGCTCCAGTGTGGGAGCAAACCCATTCCTATACAGTCTACTGTATTGTAAAACATACCTCGGTTACCTGCACGACACATGCGTACAGTTTACGAGACGCCATACGCTGCAGATCATAACTGTATACATGTACTTGTATTATTGAACTACTGTTGACATTATTTTCTTGACTGCTAAACACGAACACTTACTTCGATTGGTCGCTGACGTCTCACGCGACAATCCTCCACAAATAATTGTTTTGTCAATCTTCCCACTCTCGATGACCTCGCCGCCCCCCCCCCCCCCCACCCCCACAACCCACGGTTAACTACATGTACATGTAGATACCCACTTAGGCTATTCTCGTAATCTAATGGTTGGCTGTTTTTTTAATCCGCTGCCACTATATTCCCACACATTGTTACTACCTCCATCGCATGTCACGTAGTTCCTCACTCTCGAGGCCAGACATTGCTCAATGTAAATAGTAGCTGTGTAGAATTTTCTGTGCTCATTCCTACCAAGTAGTTCAGTTGAAAAGGTGAAGAAATTTCTTTGAGGTACAATGTTGTTCTTTGTGAAGAGAAAATTATCTTCGGCAGTTGGAAATCGGCAGTTGGACATCTGCGCGTTTACCCTAGGATAAACTCCACTTGATACCAGTTGACACCGGAGGTAAGACGTTACTCCAGCTTGTTTTCTTTAATTTTTGGAAGGTATGTACGTAACGTTTCTTCAGAATTCCCAAACTCCATTGCAGCGTATTTCTTGCACTTGAAACACACCGCCATTCCGGCAACAGGCTCTCAGCTGCAATGCCCTGATGATGCCCAATGGGCGAAATATTGGCAAAGTTATTTATTTGGTGCAGCTGAGAGCCTGTTGCTGGAATGGCGGTGTTTTCAAGTGATATGTACGTAACTAATAAAAAACTGCGTGATCAAATTGAGGCACTTGTAGTTGTTCAGGTTTGTAGATGAAATTCAAGTTTTTTTGCCCAGTACAGTGCGGATCGGCTATAGGGTTGTCGGCTATAGTAATATTATACCCCTTATATTGATCGTATTCTCAAATTCCTTTTCGTAAACCACCCTTTTCTATACATATCGGTTCGGCTATAGTAATCCAGTAAAACCTGTGACTACCGACCACCTCTTGGTGCCGGCAAAAGCGGTCTTTAGTAGTAGGTGGTCTTTAGTTAGAGGTTTGCACCGTGCGACCATATAGGGATCCCAGTATATGATATGCAAATCAAAATGCAGCTAGTACAATTCCCCAGGACTTGCGCAATGCCGTTCTTATTTCAGGTCAATCAACACTTGGAGAGAAAAACGGAGAGATGGAGAGAGGCAAAAGAGAGAGAGAGAGAATATAAAAAATTTGCAGACGTCAAATTCAGCTGCTGCTTCTGAAGCCAGGAGTCAAACGTTCCCTGTAGAAGTTTCGGTTTGCGCTGGGCTTCAAATTTGTTCATCCGATCAATCGTACCGACTATCCTTGTTTTGACTTCTCGATTGTTCGAACGCAATCCTTCAGCATCAGGACCTTGCGGTGCTGCTTTGTTTCTGGATTCCTTGACGCCATCGTCGATTCATTTGTATGACTGGGGTGACAAAGCCGCTCAGTCTTCGCTTCTCCTCCGAGTAGTAACATCGAGCTGAGAGCGCTTTCGATGCGTTCTCCAAGACGTTTCCTATCATGTTTATTCTTGACAGCGCTTGGAATTCTCACAGGTGTAGTGCAGTCCACACCGACTCCACAGTCAAAATGGCCTGCGTTCATTTTTTCAGCTGTATACCGAAAGATTCCTTTCAGGACCATGGAAAATCAGCAAAATTTGAAGAAGGAGCTTCGAGCAACATTTTATTTCCTACATCGCGGTCGCTAGTCACGGGTCAAAAATCGTCTTTGGGACAAGAAAAGGCGGTCGCTGGTCGCGTTCAGCAGGTAGTCGCTAGTCACAGTGCATTTTGAATGTGAGACCGTCCGTGCCTGGCCAAGTGGTCGGTAGTACCAGGCTGGTCGCTAGTCACGTGGTCTTTAGTTACAGGTTTAACTGTAATCGTACTACAGTGCTGGCAACTGAAATCCGACCCTCTAGCGGTGCGCTACGCCCGTTAGCGATTCGTACGAGGCGCTAGGGGGTCGGATTTCAGTTGCCAGCACTGTAGTTTACGTGACAACGTCATCAACAACAAACGAGTTAGTTGCCATGGCTACCCACTACATTGTTGTACATGTACATGACGTCATACTGCCGACAACTCCGTCACTTAGTACAGTAGCTAGACCACGCCTGCTGGCACTTTGGAGTACTCGAGTTTCGGCCCTGAAACGTGACATGCGAACATGCTTGGAACACGCATGGTCGCGCATATCAACGTATAGGCACGCATAGGTAGGCAATAATGCGCTGTGGACACTGGCCAGAGCCAAACGCTACTACAGTACTATTGGTAAAGACTTATGCATACATGTAGCTACGGAACTAATAAATATTATACTAGGAATTAAATCACTCTTCCAGCATTTTCGATGACACACTCACTACACGGATGGCATGACGACACACTCACTACACGGATGGCATGACAACACCTTGACTTGCGCAATTGCTGTGTCCTCTTCTTTTCTTTTCTTTCTTTGTACTCTTGTGGTCTTTCCCGAATCATGAAATATCTCAAGTAGGAAATCCCTTCGACAGGCGTAGAGCCTCTGGGTAACGGTAATCCTTGAAAAACTCGGATACGGAGTCAGGAATAAATGTAAAAAAAGAGAGAATAAAATACACGAGGACGAGTTATGCAGCATCTCTTCACGACTGTAACAAGATGATGAACAGTCAGAATGTGCGATAGTGGGGCACAGTACTGTTTCTAGTGTTAGGCATCTCCTCCCGTACCTTCTACAGTCGTCGCCAAAAAAATCCGGCCAAATGCAATGCTAGCTACCGGTAGCTGTACTGGGCTGCATGCACTGTATCATACTTCATACTTAGTGGTAGTGGTACTGGTAGACTATGGTAGACCGGGTCTGCAGTTACTTCACTGTTCACATGCTGACAGGCTAGGCCCGCATACACCATGTAGAGGCGACAACGGCTTGACAGGTCAGCCAAATTTGTCTAGGCCCAAACCATGCAAACCTATCATCAGCGTTGATTGTTCACTCGAAATATGTTTGTGGAAGGAAACTGGCATGTTGAAGTTTGCTCTGAGGCCAGAGTCAATCGAACTGAGCCACTCCTTTGTGTTGACCCATTGCCTCCACGTTGCCCAATTTTTCGCTTCAAATCAGAGGTGGCTCCAAATCGGCAAGGTTTTAGAGTGCACGTCAAATTCACTCTATTAGTCTGAAATTAGGTAAATGCTATCGCTCCACGACGGCCAGTACAGAGTAACAATCAGCCTTGTGTGTGCTTCTCCATTAGTTTTGATTGGTATGCGGTGCTTTATTGGCGAGAGGCGAGCCGCTGTTTACCTGCGACAAGAAGTTGATTTTTCGAAAGTCGTAAAACTCAAGTCGCAGTGCGGAGCAACACGTCAAAAACTCACCTGCTTGGTGTGGCGCTTCTGGTCATCGCAGAGCCATGAAATTTTGGCTCGGAGTATAAGTTATAACACATCGTAGTCTCACTGTGACATATGTTTTCTAATCAAAATACCAAGAGAGAAAGTGAATATTGAGTCCGGTCCGGTAACCTACCGGTATGTCCTATTTGAAACCGTCGCCTTCTACACTCACTCAGAGTCAGACTCAGGCTCGGCGCAGTGCTCAACCCGACTGCAGCAGGCAGAGTGCGGCGCAGACTGTTCGGTGCTGTCCAGTGCCAGTGGCAGTGGCAGTACAATGGCCTAGACTAATACTGAGTCTAGTGCATGTGCCACTCCACTCCCCAGTGCATGAACCCGCGATGAAGTACCGCGTAGATCTACCTACCATACCTATGTACGCGTATACTTGGCATTGGCCGGATTTTTTTGGCGACGACTGTACAACCTTATCCAAGCTGGCCTGCATGCACTCTCCTACTCACCTTTTTTGTTTCCTTTTGTTCTGTTGGCCTGGGTAGCTACTTAAGGGTAGCAGCGTGGTCTTAAATTTCATACGGCATTCAATTGACCATAACTTTGGTGTCTCTCAATGGATTTGAGTGAAATTTGCACCACACACTCCTGCCACTATGCTGGCCCTCTGGACATGATTTAAAAATTCTTGCGCTTCACTGACAGGCTTTCCAGGCCGGAAAAACTCAAAATTCCGGCATAGTGCCACGGTTTGCGAGTAGGCCCCAGCGGATAATGCTAGCATTATATCTAGCATATTTAGCACTTTCTGGAAACTAGCATTGCACTAGCATAATCAGCAGGTTTTGCAGAAAACTAGCATATTCTTGCGAAAACTAGCATATTCTTGCAAAACATGGGATTTTCAAGTGTGCTCGCATCCGAAAACACTGGTTCACTTCAAATCTTCCCTCTACTACTTGAACTTGTAGTAGATCTATGACTCTGGCTGGGAGTCTGGGCACAAGCGTTGGGAAAAAAACTTGTGATGGGTGTACATGAGAAGGCGGTGAGAATGGGAGCGTTTTGTTTCCACCACCCTTTGCTGATGAAGAACACACGTCATGGCTATGTCCGACCAAGCAGCCGGAGACATTGTTGATCTAGTAAGCAGTAGCGATGATCACTTTGATTCCGAGTTTGACGATGAAGACGCCTCAGAATCAGAGTCCGAAGAGGACGAGGTCAGGACAGCGTGTGAACGTCTTCCCGAACCAGCCAGAGTAGCGATTTCCCGAAAACGATCTTTCCAGAGAAGTGGGAAAGAGTCCGTCGCTAAGCGTGGGCGAATTGCCGGTGGAAGTTCCACATTGACACCTCGTGGCAGCGTCCACCATCGCGTGCAGCAATTTCCAGGGGAATATTTGACCGTGTCCAGTCACTCTCCGGCTAGCTGTATGCTCAGTCTATACATTCTTGATATTATCTTTTCTTTTCTTTTTTTCTCTTTTTCTTTTTTCATATTTTACTGCCAGATAGCCCTTGGCGGATTATGCCGGCATAATATTTGGCATAATCTTGGGATTTCGTCAAAATATTATGCTCCGGCATAATATTCCGGTGGAAGTTCCACATTGACACCTCGTGGCAGCGTCCACCATCGCGTGCAGCAATTTCCAGGGGAATATTTGACCGTGTCCAGTCACTCTCCGGCTAGCTGTATGCTCAGTCTATACATTCTTGATATTATCTTTTCTTTTCTTTTTTCTCTTTTTCTTTTTTCATATTTTACTGCCAGATAGCCCTTGGCGGATTATGCCGGCATAATATTTGGCATAATCTTGGGATTTCGTCAAAATATTATGCTCCGGCATAATATGCGGATTCCAACGTGTAAGGTCGGCATAATCTTTCGGTTTAGACAAAAATTATGCTTAGGGGCACAATACAGCTTTGTCAGAAAGCCTGCAGATATTTTTTTTTAAATACTCCAGTTACGACTCCTTGTCATAGCCATTGGCGGATCATAGCCCTTGGCGGATTATGCCGGCATAATATTTGGCTTAATCTTGGGATTTGGTCAAAAAATGATGCTCCAGCATAATATTCGGATTCCAACGTGTAAGGTCGGCATAATTATTATTATTATTATTATTATTATTATAGACAACACCTCATGGCATGAGAAGAAAATCAGCCAGTACGGGAGATGTGGGTGTTAACCAACCATGGTGGATAATCATTCGGTTTTGACAAAAATTATGCTAAGGGCATGGCCGTGTGTGTATGCGTGGTTTCTCAATCCTCTATGTACAGCGTGAATACATAGAGGAACCGAGCATAATTCAGCATATTTGTTGGCATAATTGTGGCATAATCAAAAGCATAATTTGACGATTGGCCGAGCATAGTCCGCCAATGGCTACTGCCAGAAGTCGTCTTCATATAAGGAGGCAGATATGCCTGTTTGTTGTACGACTTTAAATAAATCCAACCAACCAACCAACTCGTAGCCAAAGGTCAAATCTGTACACGACATAGTTATGCTAGTTTTAATGCTAGCATTACCCGCTGATGCCTAGCCGCTAGAGAGGAACAAGGGGGAAAAGTGCTGAACCCAGCCCAACACCTGTGCCTCGCTGTATGACATTGAGACCAAAGATCAAAAGGCAAAGCCGCAGTGGTAGGTAGCATGATGTGTACTTCCAAGTTGAAGACAGGCAGCGCACGTCCATTACTAGTCTATAGAGCCTAGGGCCCTAGGTTAGAGGGATAGAATAGAGTAGAATGCAGTTAATTTACACACCACCTCCTTTGATCCAAGCATTTACTCCGCAAGTATAAGTTCAATGTTCACCTCATTTACAAAAACCGCCGCCTGGGCAACAAAATAGTTGCCTATAAATAATTACAGTTTTCTTCTGTTTTCTCCTTCTAGTTTACATTAAAAAACATAATAATAATAATATTATTATTATAAGAAAGGGTTTGCTCCCCACACCGGAGCTCGCGCTATTCCGCCGACTGTACTTGACACTTGACTGACTCACGACTGCCTTCCAGAGCACACGAGAAGTCCATCGAACCTTCGACTCGGCAAACCTGCAAGAAAGCACCACTCCCTGCTCAATACACAGTGTTTCGGGGAATTCACCCCTCATCAGTTGAGCTTGAGTAGGCTGAGGAGGATTGTGCCTGAAGAGCACCACTTATAGCGCTGTCCAGGCACAACCATCACCAGGGATACAAACTTACAGAGACGCTCCGTTTCCAGCGCGACAAACACCTCGTGAACACCAGATAGCAGCGTGAGTCAGTGTCGCTCCTGGACGGTGGCGGAATAGCGCGAGCTCCGGTGAGGGGAGCAAACCCTTTCTTACAAATCATCGCCGAAGTCGCAACCACTACTTCGTAATATTATTATATTAACTGACTTTTTAATTATTATGATTGTATTTTTTCATGGTTCCTTACAGGCTAGTACAACTCATCAACAAAAGATGCGATTGTCCAAACCAACCATACAAGGCTATGAAGCTCAGGGCCCGATAGAAGAGGCAAGCAACAATGTGGAAATCTCCGATGCGCCGACTGGTTACGATAATATGCAGGACTTGAACATTTCGCTGGGTTGTACTGCCGTGCCTATTTCATTCCCGCCTGACAGTAATATTATGCAGGAGATGGAGGCATTACTAGCCCACGCTCCAAACGCCTGGGGTACACTAGCGGGGCATGGAGACCTGGGCTTGGCTGCAGGGGATGAAGAGCTGATGCCAGTGATGGATTTGCTAGACGAATGGCTACAAGCCGAAAGTCCGGGAAGTGAAATGACTAGCCCAGCAGTTGATCAAGTGCCAGTAAGCTCAACAGCTTCCAACATGACTTCTTCCGGCAGTGCTCATGCTGAGTCTGCCACTGCGGACAAACAACAGCAGGAGCAAGGTACCGTCTCAGACCATCCGTTTCCTGGTATTCCAGCGAATGTGAATGCACATGGTTCCGATTCCACCGGGCCACCATCACTGCCAGGACCTGACCATATGCAAACTCCCCGCAATCACGAGCAAGGGATGAATGGAGGTGTTAACGTCGTGACGTCATCACTGCATGCTACGTCACTACCAATGAAGGAGCGGCCTTTTGCGTGTGGTCATGAAGGAATACCGGGAAATGTGAATGCTCATGGTTCCGATTCCACCGGGCCACCATCACTGCTAGGTCCTGACCATATACAAACTCCCCACAATCACGAGCAAGGGATGAATGGAGGTGTTAACGTCGTGACGTCATCACTGCTTCCTACGTCACCACTAATGAAGAAGCGGCCCTTTGCGTGTGGTCATGAAGGCTGCAGTCGCCGCTTCCCACGCGAAGACGAGCTGAACCGCCACACACGTACGCATACAGGCGAAAAGCGGTTTCAATGCGAAATTTGCAATACATGGTTTTCAAGGAAGGACAACCTCACGACACACTTCCGCACACATACCGGGGAGAAGCCTTATCATTGTCCGCATTGCCCTAGGGAGTTTGCCCGGTCTGACCAAAGGCTTCGCCATATGAAAAAAGTTCACAAATTGCTAGAGTCAAGCGAAGCATTAGGAGTGCAGCACGGACACTCACCAGGTCTCGGTGGTACGCCTTTGGCTACAAACATGGTGAGCTTGGCATCACTGCCCGCACTGAGTACAGCCAGCCAGTTCTCTGCCACAGCAACTCCGCCGGCTAGTAGTGCAGCCTCCGCTAGACCTTTTAATGGGACTGCTGCATCGATGGGCGCCGCCGCCGCCGCCGCCGCGACACAGCATCATAATTATTCCATGGGTGTCTAATCCACGGTAAACGTACGGCAGCCGCAGGAGGAACATCATTTGCAGCAGCAGCCACAAGGCCAGCAGCACCAGTACCATCAGCATCTGGCTCCAGATGTGGTTCCAGAACCAGAGCAGGGTACTGGCATGATTGGTCAAGCGGACATTCCTCGTGGATAACTTCGGCTCAGTATCCAAAACATCGTCTAGTCCCAAAAGGACAACATATGCTGCGTTGTGCACTGGTCTGGACTGGCATGCTATTGCCAATGTAGTGTATATTTAGTGTATGTGTATGTGTATGTGAGAAAAGGGAGAGAGAGTGTGGGTGTATGTGGGTGTAATGGTGTGGGCATGTGTGGATTTGGCATTTAAAAGTCCCCAGCTCTATTCTATATCATTCGCGCTGGAACTGCTGCTGCATAGCCCCAAGTCTGAAGACTTGGCAACTTTACGCCCAATCTCTCTCTTCCCCGTTGTATCGTTCCCTCACACCGGTGAAAAAATTAAAAAAACTAATGTTGTGTGGATGTGTGTGCGACCCACTCTCTTTTTCATTGCCAAGTCACCTAGGAGTGAAACATTTCTTCGTACTGAATGTAAAGCTGTGTAAATACAGGTGATCGTCTCTGCTGCTGATGTTGCTGCTAGCCTTTTTAGCGTGACTCTGTTTCCGCTGCTGTGCTAATGTTGTTGATAAAACTCAATTATTTTTGTTTGCTCCTGTTTTGGGCTTTGGATGATCCGTATATCATGATACCATACGCGTTGTTGTCATTCATTCAATTCTTCATATCAACTGTATTGCACCGTCTAGAGCCGTTTCAGCCAAAGGTTTTGTCTGGCACCTTTGAATTGACTCAGCTGTGGGTTTGTGCTCGTGCGGTACTCAGGAGTTTCACACCGTACGCCCGTGTAAAACAAGGTTTTCATGCATGGAAGTCAAACTGAAAGTAACGACTCTAAAACACGAAAAACATGCAGCCATTGCAAAGACGTTTCTATCGGTTTGAATTAACCCAAATGATGGCGGAGGCAAAAAGGATAGGCAGGGCTTTGAACTTTTTGACAAGTTCTCTTGTTCGTTGTTTCGGGTGGTTTCGCTCATCACCACTACCATGTTACAGGGTGGGTCGGTTGTTTGTTTGGTTTCTAATAGCATGCCATGGTGCATAATGTCATACACTATGTCTTGAACAATCGACGTGGACTCAATAACTCAACATACATCCGGTATTATCGTGTTGAGTAATATGTGCATTCTTCATGGTACATGTGCACAATGTCATGTACTTATAGTTAAATCATGTCATGTCCTCCGAAGACAGTACGATTACACTTTTACGTACATGTAAACGTTTGGTTTGTGAGCAACACTGGCTCACACTCAATCACTGCTTTTCACTAGAAAAATATTTTAATTCAACGTTTCGGTTATGAAATAACCTTCATCAGGAATGAAGTGGGCCCACCGGTTAGTACATGTGTGTTTTGGAATTACCGGTAACGTTTGTACATGTACATGGTACACATGCATATGTATAATATTCAATCTCCAGACTGTTAGCTGTTTCGACCATATTACGTCTCGTCAACGCAGCTCGCAGCTACTGGCCTACCAGATCGAAATGAAGTATAACGAACGGCACAGGTTTTTAACTGGCAGAAAGGATCAAAGAGAGAGAAAGTTTTCTGTTTGCTCTAACTGCGTGTTACTGCGATCAACCCGGCGAGCTTTGCACACGGGCAGATTTCTGTGACGCTAACCAGAAATAGTGCTCCGCCAAGCCGATGCGAGGGAGTGTAGTTTAAGTTCATATCAGATACGTGCACACACAAGTCACAGATTACCACGAATCTTCATTACCAAAATGAATTCTTTTTTTTTTAAGAAAAAACCCACATGAGAACGTGTTAAGCAGCAACTATCCACGACTGTAACAAGATGATATCGAGTCAGAACGTGTGATAATAGGGCATAAAACTGACCGCCAAGTGAGACATTTTTTTGAGCGACCTGACACCTAGCTCTAACACATCTCCAGTGCGCAAACCAACAGCCTTCTGTCTGAAGCAGACAAGAAGCACAGTGAGCTGTCAGTTTTGCTAGAGTGCTCAATGAAACAAATACCGAGCTGACGAAGTACGTATGTCGCCTAAAACGCCAAAACTAGACCTACGAGATTGGCTGGTCCATCAAGGAACGTGCCCACTAATCTCACCAAGCGCCGCAATTTTCGTACCACGGAGAAACTCAGAAATAGCACATCAGCTTATCAGATCGCAGCACCTCCCTCAACAAGCGAACGGAGCTTATGTTAAGGTGTAGGCATGCTGCAAAGTTCATGCCTGGCAAGTACGGAATCATGTGATTTGCCACCACATGGCGCGCGACAGCCACTCGCACCCGTTTGCAGTCCTTTTCATTATGCGTGTAATATCTTGCGGATAACCTCGCTTGCCATCGCGCCATTTCATTTTTTTCACCTACATGTATTCAACGCGCTTGTACTTAGTAATCACAGCCCGTGGGCATTTGCACCTTGCACCTGTTTTTGTTTTGTTTTTTACGGTGTAACGGCCCCTTTTACGGGCAAAATAAAGTCATGTAGACGTGAAAAAATTGAGATACCATGAAAGGTAAAATAGAATTTTATTCCTGTTTGTTGGTACATTGAACGGCAAGTAGCTCCCCGCCTCTAACTTATTTGAAGCGTTTACCAAAGTGCACGCCATCTTGCACTTGCATGTGACTGCAGGCAAGTCACATTATCTTTCACACAGCCCTGCCCGCCTTCCTGCCGTAGAAATTTCTTTTCTCACCCACTTGACTAGGGGGTTTGGCACATTTTCCCTCCAGGACTTTTCCTACCCACCAGACCTCAACCCGCCACGGATTCCCTCCTTTACCACTGTATAAATACCATACTAGCTGTGCATCACTGTTATCTGTTGTCTGAATATTGCCATCTGGCATTATACTATTACTAGTTACAAGCAGACGCGTGGTACTCTGTGACTCATGAGTATAGGGGTTATGTAATCTTGGTATGATCATCAGAAAGATCAAGTGCCTAAACATGAGGCCCTGCTGGGTATTTGGTAGCAGGTAGAATCCCTCATCATCATCATGGATGCACAAGCGTAAAAGCAGCGACCACCATATGGCTTAAGTTTCACCATTACCTCCTGCATATTGATCCTTAATAAGGATCAATAAGTTAACATCTGCTGTCAGTTGGTGATGGTGGTGGTGGTGGTGGCGGTGGTGGTGGTGGTGTGTGTGTGTGTGTGTTTGTGCACCTATATGTACATGACTGTATATGTAAACTCGGAGGGGGTTGTGGTTGCTCGTGAGAGTGCTCAATACATCAAGGTGCAGAGCCTAGTGCACACACTTGAGAGGGACGAAAAGTGTTTCTTCTGTAACTCTGAGTTTCACGGTTTTAACCGATCATCAGACAGCAACTTGACTACAATTTTCATAATTACCCCATTGTCCTTCTTCTTGCCTCCCTCGGAAGAACATGTGGTTGCATTAGCCTAGGCCTAAAGTGTATTCTTTTTTTGCGCCTATTTTGGACCCCATCAACCATCTCACGCATTTTTACAATTACACTATCAGCCCGGATCATCCATTCGCGCTATGATCCAAGCTTGCAGCCTATATCAATCTTATCTTCTAAAAATTGTAGTCAAGTAATTATTTGCTGTCTGATGATCGGATAAAACCGTGAAACTCAGAGTTACAGAAGAAACGCTTTTCGTCCCTCTCAAGTGTGTGTGACTGTATATGTATGTGGGCGCCTAGGATGTTATACTGGAAGGTTATCGACACCCAGCTGATTTCTCAATCAATGTGGTCCGCTGACCATTCTCTACATTTATTATGTCAAAGGACCGCAGGCACGTAGAGTCATGCAGGACCGCTGGAGGCAGTTTGATGGGTCTCGTAGTATCCTGGTTTTTTATACTTTGTTTATGATATAGTGGGCACACGTGACCTCCACAGTAGGAAACACGTGTGTTGGTGGTCTAAAAGCTGGTCCTGTGATAACCGGACCAACCGGACCGGTTCCGGGGGCCTGTGACACGTCTGGTTCACCTCAACGCTCAAGAGTTGAAATGATGTCTTCTTTCCCGTTGATATCGTCCACGACAGTTTATGCGTGCAGTCTCTAGTTCCTACCTGCCTGCAGAATACGGAATAAGGAAAGGAAATCGAGCAAAGTCCATATCTCTCAAGTAATGATCATAGAGGGCATAACGTCTCGAGAAGACGAGATCTGTTCCCAGTGGAATGACTCATTGAATGCAGACCGTTGCATTTCGAAATGCTGCTACACTTGCAACACAAAGCTAATGGGTAGGAAAAGAACGGTGGATATGCCGTGTGAACACGTCTTCAGAGTATAGCAATGAACGAAGGGAGCTCAACGGCCGCTCTTTAGTTTCCAAGCATTGACATGCCTTTTTGTAGTGTGAGCAGGTTCCTTGTGCTCACGGCCCTTCTGTCCCAACATGGAGCCTTGGCCTCGTTGTCTTCCAATTGTAAATCCGTCAGGGGACCCGCCGAATTCGCTGCTCCAACTGCTGACAACTGGGCATTTGGTGATGCCGAAGAGCCCAATTGGACCACAGCACAGCAGGCTTTTATGGATGCAGGCATTGCCGATATTTCGTTGTGCATGGATTTGCTGATGGGTAGGTGGCAGTGTGCAGCCAACAGTACAGTGGTGAGGGTATACACTGGCACAGTGCAAGCAGTGGACAACTCATTGCACACAGCTACACAAACGTTACAATTGGTTGAGCAGCTGAAGCAGAATTCACATTTACACAGACTCATCCCCTTCGAACTGCTGGAGCAGCTCATTGTGAATATTTCAGCCATCTATGTGGCTGGGGAAGAATGGAACAAGATTGGCTGCACCAATGTGCTCGAACGATGCCGGCATTGGAATAGCTCAACGGAGCGAGTGCAGCATTTTCAAAACGTCCGACACTGCTTTGCACAGGCTGAGGCAATTCTCCGCAGAGCAGTGGGCAATACCGCTGACGTCCGTCACGTGACTTCCTTTCACCTTTTGGCTATTAACTTTCAAACTAACACAAGTGGCAGCTACGACGTGTTGGAAAATGAAACTGTGTTCACTAGCACAAGGCCTCAGCCTGACGAATGGACAAGGAGTATTTTGAATGAAACTGTAATGAACAGTTCGAGTTGGGACCAGTCTATTCTATTCTGCTATCTTCACCGCTCGTCAATGTTATACCGATTCGCCAAGATGCAGGAATCTCTTGCTATGGCCGAGACAGCTCTGCATAGTTTTCGGCAGGGACTCTCAGCAGTGCTATGGCCAACGAATTTTACTTGGGATTTGCCCAATGAAATTTCTCTAGTCGTGTGCTCTGCAAAGGTGAACAATGACGTAACTCTCATCAACGAGACAATCATGGAGAAAACTCCTGGTATTCAATTCTGCTGCAATCGGTGCTGCAACACACATACGCTCATCACAGCCCTGGCAACAATTCAACCTCATGTGTTTCTGGAGAACTCATCTCAGGGAGATGCACTGCAGTTTCTCCGGAAGGTGTTCACCATACACTGCCCGAGACCAGAGTTCAACCAGTGTGTTGGCGAATATTATCCTGGAAACGTGACATGCACTGAGGATGCTCCATTGCCCAACAGTACTGAAATTGGGAGATACCCAGGATCAGTAGTCGATGCTCACCAGCATCCATATTGTACGTCCACAGTCTACATCAACGTCTCATGTCAATATCCATTCGTACCAGTCTCCAGTGATGCACTACAATCTGAAAAGATGAAATGGCTAGCTGAAAGA